CAACTTTCAGTTCAATCGGCCCAGCAGAACTTGACTTTAAGTTTGAAATGTAAAATGTTAACGGACGACGGACGACGGACGACGGACGACGGACGACGTACGACGGACGACGGACGACGGACGACGACGGACGAAAACGGATAGCAATAGGTCACTTGAGCTAAAGCTCAGGTGACCTAAAAATAATAATAATGGGTAGAAAAGGATAAAGGTAGGGAGCTCCAAGTCCCTAAACGTCTTTCCGCAGACAAAGAGACAAAGATCATTAATAATAAAATACACTCTTCCTAAATTTGTTGAGGGAATTATATCTTTTTATAAATAGTTTTTGTTGAGTAATACAATATTCAGATATAGGGAGAATATTATATCAGTATTCATGATCCTTCTGTAGATCGAGATGTGACTTGATCAAGGATATGACATGCTTTTCCACTGACTTATCATATATTTTACTGGACTGAAGACATGTCTTTGAGCATACTGGCAGTACTGACAAATCCCCATATCTTCACAGCTAAAACACACTTGATAAATACTCTACCCTTTGTCATATTTCATGATGTCTTCCAGAGATGTATGTTCGTGTATAAGGGACGGATATTCATGACAATCAGCCTTCAGGGATTCGTGCAGCTTCTGCAATCACAAGAGAAATCATTGTTTTTGTGTTATCTATAGCTAAGGAAGGTGTCTTTCTTCTCAACACTAGACATCCAGCTCTAGCACATCTTCTGTGTAACCTTAGACTATATCACTGAGGGAGACATCCTAATTGATACTAGATAGTCTATCTTTGTTTTTACCAGAAGATGAGTAAGTTCTCTGATGGAGATGCCAACCTTTCAGTCGTTGTAAGTAACTTGTGAGAACACTCCGACATATAGTTGTCTCCCATCGCAATTGTTTAATATAAAATTTATTTATATTCCAACAATAATGAAACAAGTTATTACCAGTTATATTAATCACTCTTGCTGGCCTGGATGTTAGTACATGAGGGGTCTTAATGTGGGAGTAAACCAGATTACCCAGGGAAAACATATGTTGATAGGGCAGGTGACCCAATACCTTTCCATGTCCAACCAGGGAATCAAACCCCGGCTTCCCTGGTGAAAGGAGAGTGCGTTATCCAATGTGCCACCTGACCTACCCCTTGTTTTAGCTGTTCCAGTTATATAAGAGGATTTTCTGGCATGAGGGAGTCGTACCCCTATTTGAGCTGTTGACAGAGACATATGTTAATTCTTTGATGGAGTCATTCCCTTTTAAGCTGTTGATAGAGACATAAGAAGACTCCTAAAATAGAGTTTGGTCTCCTTGAAAGTGTTTCTATAGTTACCTGTAGGAATTCCCTGATGGCAGCATCTTCTTTAAAGCTGTCAGGGGCGATACAAAACCACTCCTGCACAAACTGAACTACAAACTTGCGCTGCGTTACTGCATAATCAGCGGACTCCTCCTCATCAGACTTTCGGTTGACCTTGGCATGATAACTGATCTCAGGTCAAGGTCAATTCAATTTTATTGTTTACATCACAAATAATGAGTTTTCATATTAGGTTCATCTCTTTTTGTTACACATATTAATAATAGTAATATTACTCATGTAAGCTTCAGGTTAACAAACTATCAATTATATGCATTGCCTTTAATATAGCTAGTTCAAGGATACTGGGCCAGGAGGGCCGGACACAGTTGGTCACTCGGCATAAATATCACATGTGTGAGTAGGAACACCTCCAGGAAGTTATCTACAACGGAAGATAAAAAAACATAGCAATTAGTAAAAAAAAACATAACGGTAGTGAGGTCAATGAGTGCAGAGGTCAACAAGTACAAGCACAAAGGTAGTAAGGTTATTGAGAGCAGAGGTTAACAAGTACAAGCACAAAGCTAATCAGGTCATTGAGTGCAGAGGTCAACAAGTACAAGCACAAAGGTAGTAAGGTCAATGGGTGCAGAGATCAACAAGTACAAGCACAAAGGTAGAAAGGTCAATGAGTGCAGAGGTCAACAAGTACAAGCACAAAGGTAGTAAGGTCGTTGAGTGCAGAAGTCAACAAGCACAATGTACAAGCACAAAGGTAGTAAGGTCAATGAGTGCAGAGGTCAACAAGTACAAGCACAAAGGTAGTAAGGTCAATGAATGCAGAAGTCAACAAGTACAATGTACAAGCACAAAGGTAGTAAGGCTAATGAGTGCAGAGGTCAACAAGTTAAGACGTCTGTAAGTACCCCAGTCAGCAAATAAAGAAACCAGCACAGATGTCAAAAGGTCAATCATTATAGGTCAGCATGTACAAAGGTCAGCAGGTACAAAGGTCACAAGAACACAGGTCAACAGGTACACAAGGTCAGAGGACCGAAATAGGAATAGTTAGATGTAGAGGTTAACAAGTATACAAATCACAGTGATCAAAGAAGTATGACCAAAATACATAAGTACTCAATTCAGCAGGTAGAAAGTAGCACTAGCAACAAAACAAGGATCAGCTTATCAATTATATAGATCCTCTTTTAACTGTTAATCTGTGTATCATCAATACAACATCATTACATTTAGATAATAAATTAAAATTAGCTTTAAAATAGCACAGAATATAACACCCACTTAGCCTGAGAAGAGACGGTAAGTGTTTTACCTGTAGCCTCCTCAATATAAATAGCCACCTAGCCTAGGCCTGTCAAGGAAGGGTATAGTATAATGTGTTACCTAAAGCCTCCTCAATATAAACAGCCACCTGGCCTAGGCCTGTTAAGGGAGGGTATAATGTGTTACCTATAGCCTCCTCCATATAAATAGCAACCTAGCCTAGGCCTGACAAGGGAGGGAATAATGTGTTTCCTATAGCATCCTCAATATAAACAGCCACCTAGCCTAGGCTTGGCAAGGAAGGGTATAATGTGTTACCTATAGCCTAATCAATATAAACAGCCACCTAGCCTAGGCTTGTCAAGGAAGGGTATAATGTGTTACCTATAGCCTAATCAATATAAACAGCCACCTAGCCTAGGCTTGTCGAGGAAGGGTATAATGTGTTACCTATAGCCTCCTCAATTTAAACAGCCACCTAGCCTAGGCCTGACAAGGGAGGGCATAATGTGTTACCTATAGCCTCCTCAATATAAACAGCCAACTAGCCAAGGCCTGACAAGGGAGGGTATAATGTGTTACCTGTAGCCTCAGTATAATGTGTTACCTATAGCCTCATCAATATAAACAGCCACCTAGCCTAAGCCAGTCAAGGAAGGGTATAATGTGTTACCTGTAGCCTCATCAATATAAACAGCCACCTACCCTAGGCTTGTCAAGGAAGGGTATAATGTGTTACCTATAGCCTCCTCAATTTAAACAGCCACCTAGCCTAGGCCTGACAAGGGAGGGTAGAATGTGTTACCTATAGCCTCCTCAATATAAACAGCCAACTAGCCAAGGCCTGACAAGGGAGGGTATAATGTGTTACCTGTAGCCTCATCTCATCAATATAAACAGCCCCCTAGCCTAGGCCTGACAAGAGAGGGTATAATGTGTTACCTAAAGCCTCCTCAATATAAACAGCCACCTAGCCTAGGCCTGTCAAGGAAGGGTATAATGTGTTACCTGTAGCCTCATCAATATAAACAGCCACCTAGCCTAGGCTTGTCAAGGAAGGGTATAATGTGTTACCTATAGCCTCATCAATATAAACAGCCACCTAGCCTAGGCCTGACAAGAGAGGGTATAATGTGTTACCTAAAGCCTCCTCAATATAAACAGCCACCTGGCCTAGGCCTGATAAGGGAGGGTATAATGTGTTACCTATAGCCTCCTCAATATAAACAGCCACCTAGCCTAGGCCTGACAAGG